GAATATGTGAAGCCTTTTTAATTGCTTCGACTTCCGTTCATCCAACTTTTTCGAGGGATTCGTTTCTGGAATAAATTCTTGGACATCCGAATTTCTCACCTATTAATTCGATTGTCTGTTCGTTATGTCTGTCGATACGCCGGCCTCTCCCTTTAACATGTAAAAAAAAATATATATAATAGAAGCCATTCCAAACAATAATTCAGAAAATTTTACAGAAACGTTCCAAACAATAATTCAGAAAATTTTACAGAAACGTTCCAAACAATAATTCTGAAAATTATGGAGGGATTTCGAATAATAATTCAAGAATTACAAACTGTACGTAAATTCGGGAAAGATATTGTAGATTTCTGAAAATTTTCGCGATTCAACAGCGAAATTAAATCAGACCAATAACCCGATTGAATTTGTCTCACAGTGGGTAAAAGTACTTCGAAAAATTCCCATAAAAAAGAAACCGCGCATTTTTTAAAAGTTTTAATTAGCGATGTTCGCTTAAATATTGGGAAAACACCGAATTACAGTAATTATTTTTTTGCTGCGGATTCAACTTAAACCCATAATAAACTGAAATCAAAGCTGGCTGACTCGGTTATTTTATTTATAATCAGGCCTTGTCATAAGGTAACATTTTACTTACTTAAATTTCATAATATCTTCCGTTTTGTCTCATTGATGATGAAAGCAAAGTCGAGAAAAAATAAACCCGGAGAGAATGCAGTTTCCGTCGTGTCACTTATTCTATTCTTTTCCTACAGTCACTTTATTTCTTCCCTCATATAATGTATTCCCGTGATGTAAAAGTTTGCCACCGTATAGTTGTTCTGCTTTTCTTGTCCTGCAAAAATTGTTTCGCGCGCAAAGGAGAACAAAAATTGAAGAATAAAGCAGGCAGTGAAAGGGCGTTTCACCTCGTAAGCGAGAAAGTAATTCCTGCTAGCACGTCTGTTGCCAAAATAAATTAACAAGTAAATGAATATAAAAAAAAGTCAGGACAATAACACAAAAAGAACTATACTGTTCATCTATCTCCTCGTACATAGCATTACTTCAACTTCACATTCTCTGACGCGGTGCATTTCAAAAGTTTTTATTCGAGAAAAAGTTTCTCTCCCTATTTTTGCTTTATTTCGATTAATGACGATGTTTTTCTCGGGTTTTAACGTGCTTATAAAAAATCGAATTAAATATAGCCTGCATAGTTTCCTTTATAATGGGTAAATTATACGACGGAAATATATATGCCTGCAGGCTTGTTTACGTATATATATACAGACCAGATTTTATGTTTATTTGTTATCGTTGTCATGCTATGTAGAAAACAAATGCGTTGTATCTTGCGCGCTGAAGCAAAGTTTTATCAATGACCATAAAATTGCTTGAATTTCGTGAAAGTCGCTGACGAACGCCGTTCTCATGAAAGGTTTCCGCAGAGAATTTTAGAAAATAAACACATTAAGCTAGCCGTAAAACAACGATGATAATAAACTGAAAGAAAATGCAATAATGCAATTATTATAATTCATAATTTTTCCGGCGTTAAAAATTTCAAACTGCTCTACAAAAGTTTCAAGGCAGTGTATGTATATATAAGCTGACGCAATTTCCCGAGAAGTATTCGACACTGCGATTCCATTCCCATCATACGGTTGTTTCGTGTGTTCGTGGACAATGGAAGTGTTTTTTTTCTCCCCCTTGTTTTCTTGTGAGAATAGACAGAGAAAGAAAAAAAAAGCAAAAAAAAAGAAAGACGAAAGAACGACGTCGCAAATGGTCAAGTTGACAGATGAACAGGCACTGGCAGGTCTGCCCTCATGTGTCACTGGCTCATTCTTCTTTCTTTCATTGCTCTGTTATATACCTCATATACCTCCTTATTTCACGAGAAAAAAAAAAGCAACGCAAAAAGAAAAAATGCATGTAGTAGGCTTTAATTTTATTTCTTTTCAAGGAAGAAGAAACAATTCTACAGTGAGAAAGTTTTGTTATTGAAACTTCCTTTCCACCAGAGAGCAAACGGTTCGTTTACTAGTCACTGCGCACCAGAAGTACCTCACTTAAGTTTGTTTCGTTCAGCTTTAATTTTATTAACGATAGTCAGCCGCCTTGCTTTTTGCTTTTACTTTCACTTCCCGTTCTTTAAAAGTGTGCACTTGAGTAAAAGTGCGCTGGATTGTTCAAATGCGGAACTACAGGAGGTCAGTGACTGCTGCAGCACGTTCGTCTTTCACTCCTATTGTTTTCCTATTTATAGAAAGCAAAAAGCTTTATTTTTGCTCTGGAAAGAATAGGAGAGTGCTTTTAAACAAAGAAGCACCTTAAGAACTTTATAAGTAAACCTTTGTTTTGTCGCTCTTTTGTCTTTTTCGACGAGCTAAGATAGTAGGTCGTTCCTTTTTGTCTTTAATGTTCTAGAAACGTCTCTCTTTGCAGTTTAATTGAATTGAGCAGGAAGCTTTATTTTCTGCGTTTCAGCGTTCACATAGGTTCAAACAATGTTCTCCCATCCAGGCCCCACCTGATATTGTTAGCATCTACAATTCTTTAATTTCTTCAGTTGACAGTTGATTATCAGCTATTGCCAACCTTCGTATAATTTTTCTACTGCTGCGCGGACCTGCAATAAAGTAGCTGAACCATGAAATATAAAAAATTTTGGAATTATTTCAGTTATCACATCGACAAAAAAATTCAGACGAAAGCTGCTTCATATTTTCTTCGAATAATGTCACATTTCACGATTTTCTTTCATTTTATACGGCCATAGCGTCGCAGATTTTTTTTTAATAAGGAGAGAGGAACTTGAAATGAAAAATATTTCAATGATGCAGAAAGAGGGTCAATGAATTCAAGCTGGTCTTTCCGTTTGAGCACTATTTTGAAGAATCAGCATGTACATTTATTGTTTGAAGAAATATTCCAGTGTATTTTTCCCATAATTTTGATGGAAGATCAAAAAAGTGATAAAATTATTCACGTTCCTGAAGCTATTCAGCCTTTTTCTTGCACAACTTTCTCACCCTCTTATTGGCGAAAAAAAATTGAATGGACATTTATTGTATTGAGAGTAAATTTTTCAAAGATAAATCAATTGATGATTTTAAATGCTGCTTCTTGTATTTTTCCTGTTTACCAGCTCAAAAATTCAATAATGAGATATACACGTAAAAAAAAAAAAAAAAAACGGCCCAGTTTTTTGTCCTTATACCACTTACCCCGCTACTTTTTTTGTTTTTGGTGAAAACATTTAATGGATATTTTGTTGAAATTAATTCTTTTGCTGACAGACCAATGGATGGTTTTAAATGCAGTTTCTTTTTTTTTTTAATCTCACCAGCGCAAAAAATGCAAGGGTTAAAAACTTGGATTATTTAAAACGGCGTCTTTTGTTTGGTTTACCACCTGCCCCGCAACTCTTTTTTTTTTAATTGCAAAAATTTGAAATTTTCAGGCGTTGCGACTCCATCTGGGAATGACGACAGGGATCCTTCCAGTTGTTCCCCAAGATCAGATGCACCAGTTGATCCTCAACCAACAACCCCAAACCCTGCTATTGGGTCAACAAGTTATCCTCTCACGAAAATTTGTTTCTTCGTGGAATTCTTGAAATATTCATTTGGAAACAAAACAGCGAGAAAACAGAAAAAGCTGCTCGATTCTATCATCCAGCAAGGAAAAACAGAAATTACAAGATCGAACGTCTCTCTTTGCAGTTTAATTGAATTGAATTGAACAGGAAGCTTTACTTTCTGCGTTTCAGAATTTACAAGGTTCAAACAATGTTCTCACATCCAGGCCCCTGATATTGTTAGCATCTAAAAATTTTTAATTTCTTCAGTTGACAGTTGATCATCAGCTATATTCGCTATTGCCAACCTTTGTATAATGTTTCTACTGCTGCGTGGACCTGCAATAAAGTAGCTGAACCATGAAATATAAACATTTTTGGAATGATTTCAGTTATCACATTGACAAAATAATTCAGACGAAAGCTGATTCATATTTTCTTCGAATAATGTGGAACAACATTTCATCGTTCAACATTTCACGATTTTCTTTCAATTTATACGGCTATAGCGCAGACTTTTTTTTAAATAAGGAGAGAGGAACTTGAAATGAAAAATATTTCAATGACGCAGAAAGAGGGTCAATGAATTCACGCTGGTCTTCCCGTTTGAGCACTATTTCGAAGAATCAGCATGTAAATTTATTGTTTGAAGAAAGATTCCAGTGTATTTTTCCCATAATTTTGATGGAAGGTCAAAAAAGTGATAAAATTATCCCCGTTCCTGAAGCTATTCAGCCTTTTTCTTGCACAACTTTCTCACCCTCTTATTGGCGAAAAAAAATTGAATGGACATTTATTGTATTGAGAGTACATTTTTTAAAGATAAATCAATTGATGATTTTAAATGCTGCTTCTTGTATTTTTCCTGTTTACCAGCTCAAAAATTCAATAATGAGATATACACGTAAAAAAAAAAACGGCCCAGTTTTTTGTCCTTATACCACTTACCCCGCTACTTTTTTTTGTTTTTGGTGAAAACATTTAATGGATATTTTGTTGAAATTAATTCTTTTGCTGACAGACCAATGGATGGTTTTAAATGCAGTTTCTTTTGTTTTTAATCTCACCAGCGCAAAAAATGCAAGGGTTAAAAACTTGGATTATTTAAAACGGCCTCCTTTGTTTGGTTTACCACCTGTCCCGCAACTCTTTTTTTTTAATTGCAAAAATTCCTTTAAAAGTCCGCAACGCTGAGGTAGACCCTTACTGCTGTCCCTAGGAAGGTCAACAAGGGGTTCTAGTCTACGTGGTCAACTAGGAGTTGGTTGTTGGGGTTTGGGACGATAACCCAGTTGTTCAAGCAGCAAGAACGAACCCATTCTGCGGAATTCGACCTGGATTCCAGTTTGATGACCCGAATCAATCACAAACAGTGTCTCCAGCACCACCTGTTGGAACCATTTACGGATCTCTGGGACTCGATCCCATAATGGCGGTGTCAATAATGAGCGGTAATCAAAACAATAATGGACCGTCGTTCGTGGCCAATAAGAGTCCTTTATTGTCGTCATCGTCAGCAGGCGTGTGCGAAGGGTGATTATACAACAAGTGCTTGTGCTTATATATATTTCGGCGTTGCCGAGGGACGAAATCGTCCTCATGCTTCATTTAATTAATTTGTAGTGTTTTTTCTTGTTGTTGCTGTTGTTCTGCGAAGGTTTTCGGATTATTTTTGCGAAGTTGACGGTGTCAGGAACGAGCTTTTAGCGGAAGCGGCGCATAATCAAGGATTTCCTCTTCACATCATTCCGCCTGGTTTGTACAGAGCTTTCATGCACATCATACGAAATGTACAATCTTCAATAAAAACCGTCTCATAGTGCGTGAGTCGGCTCTCTTATTCTAATCGTTTACGTAAGTTAACGATAGGCACGCTTCACGATAAAAGGCGTCACTGCGTAAAGATCAATGTGCATCATCATGCTGGGAAATTGAATTGTTAAAAAAAAAGCTCCGAAATCGGATAGTTTCAGGTGGAAATCCAGTATTTTGAATCATGCTGAGATGTATGAGTTATATGCAAACATTTGGTTCATCACATTCCCCTTCCGTTCAACTTATTCAATTTTGTAAAAATGAGTCACTGCTGGAAAGTTGAAACATTTTACTCTGCTTCTATACGTAGAAGTTTCCTTTTGATGCATGTACCAATCTTTTTTTTTCAACAGAGAAGATGAGGTGGTAATTATAATTTCGTGAAATCTTGCAAAATTCCGTTCTGGCTGAAACTTATCACGAAAAAGATATTTTGACTAAACTGCTGGGGCCTAAAAAATTCCTTGTCAGCATCAAGGACGTGTTTTTATTAGCTTATTCTTTATAATCAAATTCTTTTGTCACATGGATTACAACTGCTGGTTGAACTAGTTTTCTGTTGTACGTATTTTCTAGTTCCAAATTTTTGAACATCCGATACATGATTATCGCCGCATATTCGCGAAACATGATCAATGTCAAATTTCACTTGAAATTTCAGAGCAGGATTCGGATTCTAAATTTAAGCAACTCATCGTATCCAACTTCACTCCAAACTATAGTTAAAGACTGGATTAAACTTGGAAGATTTATTACAATTGAAGAAATGTCTATTTTTTATCTTTGACGTAAAATCACCAACTATATAACGTCATATATATGCGGAGGGGGTTTATGGAGGAACCCATGATTAAAATTTTAAATTTAGACTATGTGCTTCTAAAAAGTGCATGCCTTGGTAAATCATCCTCGGCCAAGTTGATGATTGGGGTGACACATGCTTTAGCTAGTTTTTGGGAAGCTGGTTTGACATCAAGTGAAAACTGCCTCAAATAAAAAAAAATTAGGTGAGAGTCATATTTTTTATATCAATTTATTGCTAATTTTCAAAAGAATCCCTTCGATCATCTTAGCTCGAGCTATAAGGACAAAGAGTTGATTTTTCGTCTGGTTTTGGCTTAGCTTTGGTGGGTTTCCCATTGAGAAATACTGTTGCAAAATGACCAACCGAAACAATGATTGAATTATTCATAGTATGATTCGATTTCAAATTTTCAGGTACTCCTCAAAGCCCCGTTTTTCTACATTCTCCGACACCTTACTGCAATTATTTGGAGCCTTTGCGTTCGTTCGACCATAGCGACGCAACGATGTCGCTGCTACACTTCCAAAAATTGCAGCACCGGGGGGATTCCCTGGTTCCTCCGCGATATTTTCCCAACGGCAATGGCTCGAATTCCAGTCACGGAATGCTCTCATTCGCAGAACTGATCTCACGATATGCTGGCATAAATACCGATCCAACCCTGGTTCCCGCAAATTTTGCCCCGTTTGCAGTAGCAGCTGCGAAACCCCAACCTGAGCAGCCGACATCGTGGATCAAATCTTCGCCTCGGGCGTCAGAAAATTCTCCGTTCGACAGTCGGTTCGTAAAAATTTTCGCAAAAATAGTCAACAGGAATGTATGCTGACATTTAAATGAATTTGTATTCGGGAATGATGATTCCATCTCAGGAAGCAACAAGCGGAGATCTTCAACTTGCAAAAGATGTCGAATCACTTGGCAGAGATGGCTTACAGTCAGCATGGCTCAAGAATGATCCAGCAACACCTGCAACGTTGCACACCTCTTGACAGAGAAGCCATTTTCTCAGAAATCTTGCCAGAATCGGAGAAACTGATGACTGATGTTTTCGGCAACTACGTGATCCAGAAACTTTTAGAATTTGGTTCCCCAGACCAGCGAACAGTTCTTGCTGGAAAGGTAAACATTAAAACGTGAGAGTTTTCCAGTAATCTTCGTTCCTCTCATTGC